CAATGAATCAGCAGAAGCAGAAATCAAGGAAAAAATCCCATTTGATATAGCAAAAAGAGAAATAAAATATCTGGGAATAAACCTAACCAAGGAGGTAAAGGATCTGTATGCAGAAAACTACACAGCACTGAAGAAAGAAATCAGGGAAGACACAAACAAATGGAAACGTTTACCTTGTTCATGGATTGGAAGAATTAACATCATCAAAATGTCCATAGTACCCAAAGCGATATATAGATTCAATGCAATACCTATTAAAGTACCAATGGCATATTTCACAGACATAGAACAAACACTTCAAAAATTTATATGGAATCATAAATGAGCCCGAATAGCGGCTGCAATTTTGAGAAAGAAGAACAAAGTAGGAGGGATCCCAATACCTGATATCAAACTGTATTACAAGGCCACTGTAATCAAAACAGCCTGGTACTGGCAAAAAAACAGGCACATAGACCCATGGAACAGAACAGAGAGCCCAGAAATCAACCTAACTCTCCACAATCAATATTCGACAAAGGGGGCAGTAACATAAAATGGAGTAAAGATAGCCTCTTCAGCAAATGGTGTTGGGAGAACTGGACAGCTACGTGCAAAAAAATGAAACTTGAGCACAAACTTACACCATACACCAAAATAAATTTAAGGTGGATAAAAGACTTAAATATAAGCCATGACACCATTAAAATCCTAGAGAACTTTGGCAAGAAAATCTCAGATATTCCACGCAGCAACGTTTTTACTGATATGTCCCGTAGACCAAGGAATATAAAGGAAAGAATAAACAAATGGGATCTCATCAAAATAAAAAGCTTCTGAATGGCTAGAGAAAACAATATTAAATTAAAAAGACAACCAACTGTATGGGAAAACATATTTGCCAATGATACCTCAGACAAAGGTTTTATCTCAAAAATATACAAAGAACTTACATGACTCCACTCTAGGAAGACATCTAACCCAATTAAAAAATGGGAAAAGGACTTGAACAGACACTTCTCCAAAGAGGACATACAGAATATCCAGAGACACATGAAGAGATGCTCAATATCGTGAGCTATCAGAGAGGTGCAAATTAAAACCACAATGAGATACCACTTTACACCAGTCAGGATGGCTATCATAAACAAAGCAACAAACAACAAATGTTGCAGAGGTTGTGGCGAAAAGGGGTCCTTAGTTCATTGTTGGTGGGATTGCAGACTGGTAAAACCATTATGGAAACCAGTATGGAATTTTCTCAGAAAAATAAAAATTGACCTGCCTTATGACCCAGCAATTCCACTGCTCGGATTATATCCTGAGAATCCTAAAACATCAATATCAAAGAACCTATGCACCCCAATATTCATAGCAGCACAATTTACAATAGCCAAGTGCTGTAAGCAACCTAGGTGGCCGTCAGTAAATGAATGGATCAAAAAATTTTGGTACATATACACAATGGAATTCTATGCAGCAGAGAGAAAGAAGGATCTCCTACCCTTTGCAACAACATGGATGGAAGTGGAAAGCATTATGCTGAGTGAAATAGGCCAGGTGTTGAAAGACAAATACCATATGATCTCGCCTTTAACAGGAAGCTAAAGAACAAAACAATCAAGCAAGCAGAATAAAAACAAAGACACTGAAATGGAGAACAAGAGGGCAGTGACCAGAGGGGAGAGGGAAGGGAATTTAAGGGGGAAAAGTGGGAGGGATTTGGAGGAACAATTATGATGGACACAGATGCGGGAACTAAGGGAGGTGGAAATGGGAGGGAGCTGGGTAGCACGGGACGGGGTGGGCTAGGATGGGAAAAATAGACAAAAAACTGTAATTGAAAAATAACTAAATAAAAAAATGAATACCTTTCAAAACAACTTGTTTCTGATATTTCCCACTTTTACTAGTATGCTCATATATCTCATTTCCCCCCTGAATTGTGTCTTGCATCAAGATGCAGTGTAGAAACTCTTCGGCCAGGATGGAGGCATAGGTGGAGACTCTGTCCTTCCTCACACAACCAAGGTTAGAGACAATTAAATATTAGCAAGAGAAAACACAGCCAGAAACCAGAAAATTGAACTTTTTGGAAGTCTGATAACAACAAATCCTTCAGCCTGACCGGTAAGAGGGGCAAAACCAGCAGCTGGTGGAGCAGGGTAGCACAGGAAAACTCGGTCAGATGGACTCAGGTGCGCGGAATCCAGGTACAGGGTTAGACCTGGTGGGCAACTCAGCAAGCGACCACGAGGAAACAGCAAGGGAGCAGGGCTGTGGGTTGACTGTGGTCACCCATTCGTGTATTGATAGACAAGTGAGGGAGTGGGCGATTGGACGAGAGCCAGCAGCCCCAGTGGTGAGCGGCAGCGGAGGGCATCACCATTTCTCCGCTCTGACCCCACCTCCACATACAGCATCATAACCCAGCGACCTAAGTGGCCCTGCCCTGGTGAACCACCTAAGACTCTGCTCCTCACCCAGAGGCGCGAAACAGCAGAGGGTGCCACCATTTCCCCACTCTGACCACGCCCCCACATATAGCCTCACAACCCAGCGACCTGGGAGTCCAAGGCGCCCCTCCTCATACTTAAGGTGCCAAAACAGACCAAAAATGGCTCAAGAAGATCTCAAAGCCTCAGAGCCTATAAATCTAAGTGATGAAGAAATAGCAAAACTCTCAGACGCACAGTTTAAAACACTGGTGATCAGGATCCTTACAGAACTGGTTGGTTATAGCCACAAATTAGGCAAATATATGAAGGCAAAACTAATTGAAATGAATGGAATTGCACAGGAAACCAATAGCAATGAAAAGGAAACTGGGACTCAAATCAATGGAGTGGACCAGAAGAAAGCAAATAATGGCCAAACAGAAAAGAGTCAAGAAGCAAGAATTCAAAAAAATGAGGAGAGTCTCAGGAACCTCCAGGACATCTTTAAATGCTCCAACATCCGAATTATAGGGCTACCAGAAGGGGGAAAGGAACAGCCACCAATGGAAAACTTATTTGAACAAATAATAAAGGAGAATTTCCCCAACCCCAATCTGGCAAAGACAATAGACTTCCAGGAAATCCAGGAAGCTCAGAGAGTCCAAAAGAAGTTGGACCCAAGAAGAAACACACCAAGGCACATCATCATTACATTAGCCAAGATTCAAATGAAAGAGAGAATCCTAGAAGCAGCAAGAGATAAGGGGACAGTCACCTACAAAGGAGTCCCCATCAGACTGTCAGCAGATTTCTCAAAAGAGACCTTCCAGGCAAGAAGGGGCTGGAAAGAGGTATTCCCAGTCATGAAATCCAAAGACCTACAACCAAGATTGCTCTATCCAGCAAAACTTTCATTTAGAATGGAAGGATAGATAAAGTGCTTCTCAGATAAGATCAAATTCCAGGAGTTCATCATCACCAAGCCCTTATTATATGAAATCTTAAAGGGACTTATCTAAGAAGAAGAAGTTAAAAAAAACATGAACAGTGAAAGGACAACAAACTCACAGTTATTAACAACCATACCTAAAACGAAAGCAAACTAAAAGACAGCTAGATCAGGAGTGGAAACATAGAAATGAAGATCTCAAGGAGGGTTAGCAAGAGGGGAGTGGGAGGAGGAGAAGGGGGGAGAAGGTACAGAAAATAAGTAGCATAGACAGTAGATAGAAAATAGAAGGGGGGGAAGAATAGTATTGGAAATTTAGAATCTAAAGAACTTGAGACACATGGTCATAAACTAAATGGTGGTAATGGTGGGGACGGGCGTTAGGGTAGAGGGGAATAAAGGGGGGGGGATAGAAAACTGTAATGGCATAATCAATAAAAAATAAATTAAAAAAAGAAAAAAGTTGCACTGCAGAAACTCAATTCAGATTCATTTGAACAATTATTTATTGAATTCTTATCATATTATAAATTTGCTATACACCAATTAATGAAACGGTCTCATCTTCAATTGGCTTACTGCCTTGTAGATCTTAAATAAACTAATAACTAAAAAGAAAGTCCATACAATAAATGACCTAGGCATTATACTAAAGGCTTATGAGGGTACAAAGGAGACCATGTATGGTTTTAAGGTAGGAGATCATATATCTATAAATATTTGATGACTAAAGACAATACTACACAATTAATGAACCAAGAACTTTGTTTTTTTTTCAAACTTTTTATATATCCACACAATTCACATAAATGTGGATATTCTAAGCTGATTAAAATCTATCTCTTATCAAGAAATTATCCAGCAGGTCTAGATGCTTCATATAACCATTGTTTTTTAGCAATAGAGAAAAATACATTTAAAATTTCTACCTTATTAAGAAACAGACTAGCCCTGGCCAATGTGGTTCAGCTGCTTGGAGTGTTTTCCCATAAACCAGATGGTCATGAATTTCAGTTCAGGTTAGGGCACAGGCTTAGTTTGCATGTTCGATCCCTGGTCAGGGCACAAACAGGAGGAAACCAGTTGATGTTTCTCTCCACATCAATGTTTTTCCCTTACTCCCTTCCTTCCCCTCTCTGTGAAATCAATAAGCAAGTTCTTGGGTGAAAATAAAACAAGAAATGAAGCAGGTTCTTTATTTTTTAAAAAAATCAATATATTGCCCTGGCCAGTATGACTCAGTTGGTTGGAGTATTGTCCCATAAACCAAAAGGTCACATGCTTGATTCCCAGTCAGGGCACATGCCTAGGTTGCGGGTTCAATCCCTGTCTGGGTGTGTACAAGAGGCAACTGATCAAAGTTTCTCACGTCAATATTTTTCTCTTCCTCCCATCCCCTCTCTCCAAAATCAATGTGCATGTCCTAAGGTGAGGATTTTTAAAAAGCAACATATTAAACAATCATTATTTAGTTCAAAAAGCTCTTTTCTTGAGTGTGTCAATGAATGTGACACTTTGATACTGCTTGCATTTGATCAGTTATTCCATGTGATAGGTAATTAGATAGACAATAGGCATATAAATGTTTAGAAAAGAAATATGTGTTTCTTCATGTGTATTTCTTGTTTTTACCAATGATTTGATTATTAAAATAATCAGGCAACATTCATTCACATACAGCAACCAAAAGCCAAAACGCTTCTTCATATTTTGCATACAGAAGCAATACTGAAGTCAAAATGTTCATTGCATAAAATTCATAGAAAAAATTACAAAATCTTTTAGATGATCCATTGAATTAAATTACTTTTCAAAAAATTGACTATTGATAAGTTTCAATGAATAAATTGAGTCAGTATGTGATATTATTGGTGCTCAACCCATTATAAATAATCAGTGGCAGAGAGAGGTAGCTATCCACCATAATCTAAACCCCTTCTTCAATAGTATCTGGATATATTTGTGCTCAGCCACACATTTTGCAGAATTTTTTTAAATAGGTGTGGTCATGAGATCAGCCCTCGAATAGAATGTAGGTGAGAAATAAAAGTTACAACTACACTAAAGAACAATTATCATGCAGAACTGCCTGAAATCTGGCTGAATGAAAGTCCCACAACTAGGAAATTAAATAAGAAGCCACATAGAGACTGGTAGGAAGGGTGGAGATGAAGAATGGGCTGCTACCATAATCACAAGTGGCAAATTAAAAATTGGGAGGGATATGTGGGCTGCAGAAGATCCCCTGGAGAAGTGAGGCCCCCTAGCTCAGGGTTCCAGTGCCAAGAAGAGATGTCTCCATAACTTCTGTAAAAACTAGTGGGGAACATTGAGGAAAACGGTGTCAGGGAGAAAAATCTGAGGAAAACAGAGGGCCACTGGAGTCCCAGGAAGCTGCTCTTAAAGGGCTTACTCAGACTCATTCCCTCTGAGTTCCAGTGCCAGGGCAGCAGCTCAAAAGGCAACCAAGATATATGAGGAGGAACTGAATTGTCCAGCATCAGGGCAAGGGATGGGGCTGGGGCTGGAGGAAGCTCTCTCCTGGGCAGAAACACTGTAAGAGGCTATTGTTCCTTTGATGAACCCTCCCCAAACAGAGCCAGCAGGTGGATGCTGTATCTGAAACTCTGCCAACCTGGCTCACACTTTTTGCCCCAACATGGTGATTCCATAAGGCACCACCCCACCCAACTTTTGGACCCATTTAAGATATTTCCAGTTGCTTTTGAATATGAATTGCCTGTCCAGGCTCACTCTTCAGACTTCCTTAATATCTTTCAAATAAGAAGTATCTGGCCTCAGCATGCCCCATACATCTTGCTAAGTGGTCATAGGCCTGGCACTATCAACAGCCAGCCTTGGTTTGCAGCTTGGCCTCACCTGGGCACCTTCAAGCTCAGTGAAAGTAGCAGCCATCTGCAGATCGCTTTGTAACTCATGTCAGGTCACCCCAGGCAGAAATTATGTGGCAACTGACCTTAGCCTGTATCTCCAGAGAGTTCCCAGACCAGTGCAAATGGTGAACATCTTCAGTTCATATCAAGGCACCACCACTCAACAACCTCTGTGGGGGGTCTGCCATGAATGAGAATAAGTCTACCAAGACATGATCTGCTTGGTAAGGAAAGATGGCAGATCTCTCAAAGGTGAAGGGCCATGAGGCTTTTCCTCAATGGGGTTTTAATGGGTTCAATTTGCACAGGAATACAGGTAAAGCTCACCAATTATTGTGAGGCAGTAATGATCAAACAATAGGTAACATTCAAAGAACTCTGAGGGCTTATTCTGAGTCAGGGTCAGTTAGCTAAAGGGCTATACAATTTTGGGGAACAAACTCACTTTATGCTTGGACACTTATCAGAAAACTGAGGGCATTCTTGGCAAAGCAGATTTCACAGGATTTTATGTATCCTTTCTTAGGCCTGATCAACCCCAGAGAACTGCCTGTTTCTGGCCAAAGTTGCACAACCATCTATCATTGTTTCAGGCTTAAGTTAGGCAGGGGAAGTAAGGCAGTCAAGAAATTAGGAGACTTCTTACAGACAGAATGTGAACTCAGGGCATGTCAAAGCTGAGGGGCAAGGGTCCATCACCCTGTTTTACTATAGCCCCCCCAAAGTCCTTCCCTGAGGGCCCTTTCATGACCATGCCTGTCTTAAGTCATTCCTCCCTTGAGAAATCTTTCCCATCATTGGCTAGTCAATCATCTACCCAGAGCAAGGCAGAATGAAGTAAAAGGAGCAGAGGTGGCATCCCTGCCAGGGAGATAAGCTTTGTTTCCTTAGTGGCTTATGGTCCCAAGGTCTCTGTACTCAGCCTTAGTCATGGGGGGTTACAGCTATTGAAACCAGGAAGGGTGGTTCCCAACAAACCTCCAGAAGTGATGTACTCAAGGGGAGAACTCAGTGGCTATCAGTGCCATGCAGAAGTAAGTCCTGATGGGGAAGGTGGGCACCTGCACAGCTGACTTTACACAGTGGTCAGAGAATCACAGCCAGTTCTTGGAGCTTATCAGCCTGGGAGTAAATCCCTCCCAGTGATGTGCCAAGAGCAATCAAGGCTCACCTATAAGAGGAGGATGTACACAGCTTGTGGGGCATACTACAAGTAAGCAACTTGGGTGGTCAGGAAGGCTGTGCCACTGTACTCTACAGGACTCCTGCTACATTAGGCCACACTACCAAGACTGGGAGTCAAAGCACTTCCACCTAATACATAGAAACAAACACAAGGAGGTTGCCAAAATGAAGATACAAAGAAATATATCTCAAATAAAAAAAAACAGAACAAAACTTCATAAGTTGTAAACAAAATGGAGACAGAAATCTACTAAATGCATAGTTCAAAACACTGGCTACAAGGATGCTCAATAAACTTATTGAGAATTTCAATAGCATAACAAAGGACCAATCAGAAATGAAGGACACACTAACCAAAATGAACAATAATTTATAAGGAACCAACAATAGAGTAGATGAAGCCAAAAATCAAATTAGCAATTTGGAATAAAAGGAAGCAAAAACCACCCAATCAGAACAGAAACAAGTAAAAATAATACCCCTCCAAAAATGAGGACAGTGTAAGGAGCCTCTGGGACAACTTCAATTGTATCAACATTCACATCATGGGGGTGCCAGAAGGAGAGAGAGAACAATGAAAATCTATTTGAAAAAAAAATTACAGAAAACTTTCCTAAATTGGTGAAGGAAATAGATATACAAGTCTAGGAAGCACAGAGGGTCCCAAACATTATGCACCCAAAGAGGCCCACACAATAACACATTGTAATTAAAATGCCAAAGTTACATACAAAGAAATAATCTTAAAAGCAGCAAGAGAAAAGCAGTTAGTTACCTACAAGGAAGCTACCATAAGACTGTCAGCTGAGTTCTCAACAGGAGCTTGGAAGGTCAGAAAGGATTGGCAGGAAATATTCAAAATGATGAAAAGCAAGGACCTACTACCAAGATTACTCTACCTAGAAAAGCTATCACTTAGATCAGGACAGATAAGTTTCCCAGACAAGGAAAAGCTAAAAGAGTTCATGACCATCAAACCAGTACTATATGAAATGTTAAAGTGTCTTTTCTTTAAGGAGAAAAAGATAAAAAATATATACAATAAAACAGTAGTGTATACATATAATTGATTTGAGGAGATTCAAGATGGTGGCAGAGTAGCTGGTAGTTCCATCCATTTGCTCCCAGACCTGGACTGGACTTGCAGTCAAAATACAAAGTGGAGAGTGAGTGAGAGCATCTGTGAGTTTGTATGCAGATGATGAGTGCAGAGTGTGCAAGAACCAGCCCACCTGCAGGATGCCCAAGCTATCAGCCTGGACTTTCTAAACTGAGCCGCCATGGCTGCACAACCCAGCACTTCTGGCTGCACAGAGTCAGGGCATCTGTAGATCATCTTAGGAGTCATGAGCTACTGGGGTGGAGAGAGAAGGCCTGGGAGGTTCAGGTGTCAGAAACAGTGTGGTGGGAGCTGGCCCACCTGAGGCTGAAGATCTCTGGAGGGAGCGGGATCAGCACTCTGCCCCTGCTTTCTTATAGTATAGCTACGGGGCTCTTCCCAGTGCTATCTGGGAAGGATCCAGAGAGAAACGTTACCTAAGACTGTTGGAAGGTCTGAAAGGCAGTGGCCAGCCCTGACTGTGAGAGACCCTGTGAACTTTCAGGAGAGGATGCATGTGGAGAACAGGACCCACAAGGACCAATGCTACACTGTGGGGCCACACAGAAATTTGGTAGGGAATCAGGGCTCACACACCTGTGTGTGCAGGCACAGTGGCTCTGCTAACCAAAAACTCAGAGGGGTAGAGTAAACTGAATTAATGGGGTAGAGTAAACTGAATTAATGGTAGGACCCAACCCAGCGTTGCTCACAAGTAGAGGTCTGTTCAGAGTGGAGAATTCAGGCCAAATCTCCTGCAAGGGAGCTGCAGGCTCAGGCCTTGAAAGTAGGAGCTTGATGCCTGTGATTTGCCACAGCAAGCCAGATCCCCTCAAAAACAGGTGAGCCCAATCCCCAGAGAGTCCAAGGTGAGGAGTCTCCTGCTGGGTACATTTCCAGAGGGGAAAGAAGAAAAAGCTTTGTAAAGGCCCTTCATTAGAAACTATGAGCTACACAGTTCCTTGGGCCCTGATGTACTCAACCCAGCAAAACAAAAAGAATGGAGACAGGGGATGGAAGATGGTCATTATGTATGTGGGAGCTGAGTCCATTTGTTTGTGCACTCAACTGGGACACTTAGCTAATCTGAAAAACAAAGTCAACAGCCAAGACAATCTCAGCGGATGTGAAGTTTGGAAGCCAAAGTGTGCAGGGGACGCTTCACAATGGGTGATAGGCTGATGGGAGGGTCCTTTACTCTCACCGTATCTCATAATCAATCTTACCTTCCACAAGCTCATGGTTTCCTGCAACTCACAGTCCTTCCCATCTCTAACAACAGCCTTATCTTTCTTTCTACCCTTTCTAAAAAGTGGCTAGTTGTGTGAAATATCATGGTTATCGCTGTACTTATCCAAAGGATACCCTATCTCTTTTTTCCCTGTTGGTACTTTAAATCCCATAGAATACTCACCCACTATCTTAATCCATTTTGTCTTCCCCCTTCAGCTGACCACATAAATGAGTAGGTGGAAGCTGTGAACACCAGTATACCTACTGGAAAAGAGAACCCACCAACAAAGGAACCACCAACAGATAATAAAGGAATGGGGTAAAGGAGTGAATAGAATC